AGGGGGCTGGGCAGAGCGAAGCGGAGAGAGACGAGGCGGTGGCAGAGCGGAGCGGAGCGAGGCGGGGCGGGGTTGAGGCGGAGCGAGCGGCGGAGCGGAGTCGAAAGGGCAGATGGGTGCGGTCGTCCGAATGGAGAGCGGGAGAGCGGGGCAGGGTGGGAGGCGTGGACGCGAACGCAGCGTGGGGAGCGAGCGGAGCGTGGGATGGGGCGAGTTCAGGAGTTCGTGATGTTGGCACGCGGGCACCGAGACCGCGCACCTCTCGAACCTGTTTGCGCACCGGGCCGCGGTGGCCGCGGGCGGCGGCGCTCCCTAAGCGGAAGGCCCGGGCCCGCAGCCGGCCGGCCGCGCGCGCAACGCTCCCACCGACGGCACCGCACCGGGCGGCATTTTCCATTCAGTATTTGCTGTTTGCCTCATATGTTGAGGCAATAATTGAAGCTCAGAAGTTTTGAGATATTTAAGGCATTTTAAAAAAATGAACGCACAATCACGTATCACGAAAATTGACATATATATTGATCGTGGACTTTGTACAAATTAAACTTGGAAAATAACATCATATACATGTGTTTTCTAACCCAAACGCTGGGAATGCGACTGATTTTAGAGATTTATTATTGTTATTATTATTATTATTATTATTATTATTATTATTATTATTATTATTATTATTATTATTATTTATTCAAATGCTCATTATTTCTTTTAGATCGTCTGTTCTTTTTTAGTTACATATGCCATAATCTGCATTGCACTGTCCCTCACATACGTGAGTTCGGAGGCTAACAACCTTTCTTTTATTCAAATCATTTTCAGCAAACATTTCGATATATCCTCATCATTACTGAACAATGTATATTCTGTTCCACATATGAATCGCTGTGAACATTGTATATTTTCTTAACGTTTTTCATTTTGGGGATGACATTCAACAAACAGCTGTCTACTTCTCATGCACACCGTATGTATGTAAAACATTTGTTTTACAACAGTTAGCTAATATTAACGCGGAATCTTTCCTCTTTGCTATGAATTTCTCTTCAGTATTCTCTGCTTTCTAACGTTTCCTTTCCATTTTCAATGATATCTCAACCATATCTTTGATGTTTTTAAGCACAAAATAAGGGTTTTCATTTATCCCCTGTCACAATTCTAGAATCAGCCATATTGATTCACCACCTATTTGTTTGTAGACAAAACATTTATTGATTAAAATCCAAAGTTTCGTTGACTTGTGGTATAGCCTCTCTTCCGACTGAAATTTCTGTTAAGCTAATGTACTAATTATTTCAAATCTATGCAGTCGCATAAAATCTCATTAGGGACTCAAATGAAGTACTGCCATAATACACTAATATGATAATGTTTCAAGTTTCATTTAATACAACTCATTCAATTTCAGAAAAATGTGAGCAAGCCCCCTTTACTACGGAGCCCTTCACGCATCAGCAAGCAATTGAAATATTCATAATGTTATTACGTTGTTTGTTGAAATTCAGTTATTTACCTTTAAACACGACCCTACGGGAAATACTGCAAGTTATTTATTAAATCGTATGTAAATGAGTATTAATAAATCTGACATAATATTTTATTTAATGATTATCCATTAACAAGAGTGCAATTAAAGAATCCCCCGCAAGGTAATATAATATTCCCTTTCTAACTATTTGGAAATTATTATGACTACTTATAGTACCAAAATATCTACTTAAATAAGGGACTTTTCAGAAGTACCCGCAGAGTCAAATTCTAAAGTCAGTTCCAGAAAAGACGTAACTTCATTACGAATACGTCGTTTGATCACTGCCATTGTTTAAGCATAACCTTAGGATTTGTAATAATGATTTCTAAAAGGTAAATTGTGATTTAATTGATACAATAGCTTCTTGACGCGAACTAATTATCATTTGTTTTATATTCCTTAAACTGTATCACAACCCAACTCTGCCTCTCACCAAGCTCATGGCCAGAACGCCTCTATACCCTATAGCCACAATGCCTGCGAACTTCCTTAGTTCAAAGTTCAAGTTCCCACATGCCTTCAGAAACTAACATTGTCCCTTAATGAAAGAACTTCCACAACTGCTGTTTGCACATGTCCTTGCCCACGGAAAGTTACCGCTTTGTTTTGAAACGAAAGAGCGGAAAGGTTCACTTAAGGCATCTACATTCTGAATACATTGAATATTTATCAGAAGTTCCGAAAATAATCGACTGTCGACCTCAATAGATCATTAACAGCAAAATACATTCCATTTTCATGTTGAAGTCGTTCGCTTCGAAAGAGGGAGACAAAGCCGCCACCGTAGACGGGATTGCACATGGTTTAGGGTCACAATTTTCAATGGCTGCGAACGCAACGGCTACGAGCGCTGAAGGAGTCTAGAAGCAAGAGGTTTCAGCACCCAACTTTGCGTGTTTAGCTCCTCCTCAAGATAAGAATCGCTGGCATGAAACTTCGTTTGTTGAAAACTCGAATAATTCTCTTCAGAACCATGAAGGTAAGTTTTGCAGATAATGTAGAAGCTACGAAACATTACAGAACGTAGGAACGTCAGAGAATCTCGTCACAGAACGTTAGGAAGGGAAATTTCCTGAGACAACGGCAAGGCGACTGGGTAAAATGAGCATTAAGGAGTTCAGAAAAGAGTGCGTATCACAAACGCGAAAACGCTCCACTCTACGCCCATTTGGTCTACGCATTGCATCAGTGAATAAAAGAGTAACTATCACTCTTCCTACTAAAATTATCCATAAAATACTACTGACATTGCAAGCTATAAATTCCACAAAGTATAATGGTAGTGATGTTAAATAAGTTAAAATAAAGCTAATCCAAAATGGACAAACGAAGAAGGAGTACTAGAAGAATGAAAACCAAAACGGCACAAGAGATCGAGGACAAAAAAGGGAGAAGAAGAGAATAATGGTACCTTTTCACTCAATGAATAGTTAGTGCCTTCTCAATCCAGAGCTACACTAGGATTGTTTTTAAAATATAAAAAAGAACAAATAAGGAGATTCTTGTTACCATCCCAACGGTGGCTACCCACTTTTGTTAATCGCGTTGAGCGAGCGCTATTGCGTGGATTAAGAAGAAGAAGATGAAGAAGAAGAAGGAAAAGAAGGAGAAGAAGAAGGAGTAGGAGAAGAAGGAGAAATAGAAGAAATAGAAGAAGGAGAAGAAGAAGAAGAAGAAGAAGAAGGAAAAGAAGAAGAAGAAGAGGAAAAGGAGAAGAAGAAGAAGAAGAGCAAAAAGGAGGAGGAGGAGAAGGAGGAGGAGGAGAAGAAGGGAATGAGGGGAAGAATAATAGAAAAGAAGAGGGTGGAAGTGGCTATCTGCCTGTTTGAGGGGGTTGAGCGAGCACATTTGGAGGATTGAGAAGAAGGAGAAGAAAAGTTGAAACCTGAAGACAAGTGACGTGGGCGGAAGCATGTACGCACCTGGTTGTGCGGGTTGAGCGCGTTGCTGTGGTTCTTGTGCAGGCGCAGCTTGAGGAAGCGCGCGGTGCACGACGGCACCGTCACCGACTTGAGCTCGCGCGACTTGAACGCCGTGCTGTGGTTGTCCGACAGCGTGATGAAGCCCAGGTACTCGAAGAGCGCCGCCGACCAGCTGTTGGGGCCGCCCGAGGGGCCCTGCAGCACCTGCAGCCCCTGCAGGCCCTGCAGCGGCGCGACGCCCTCGTCGGCGTCGGGCGACGGCGTCGACTGCACGCCCGCCCACAGCTCCAGCTTCTCCGCTGCAAGCACACACACACAAAGGTGATTGTCGGCACACACACATATATTCGAAATCAAACCAGAACGTGCGCGTGAATCCGTCCGTGTGTGCGTGTGAACACGTGTGCGTGCGGGAGTGTACGCAGTGCAATGGCAAACAATGACAGTGCAAGTGATGTCTGTGTGGGGAAGGCAAGGCTTTGTGCGGTTTCTGATAAAAAAATGTTTATTTACGCTGAATGTACACTATTTTTATTTCTTGACAAAGTTAATATTTATGAAATTGAATTTCCATCTGTTGTCTTTTCATACATTTGAAAATGACATTTATGTGTTTCAATAAAATAAGCAAAGATGTTTGTTGTCTACAATAAAAAATAAACTTTATACAAATTAATTTAAGTAAACGATTCATTGAATGACTTTTATTTATACAGAAAATTAGTACAAGTCGTATTTTTAAATCTTTGTCCTTCGCTTCGGCGGGTGGGCGGCGGCTGAAGTGCCATGAGCCCCTCCTTGGTTGCAGCACTGACAATAACTAATGCAACAAATACTGACAAAATGTTCAATACTGTTACAATTAAATGCTTATAGCATAACAAATATTCATTGCAGACGGAACAATAACTTAATGTTTTGTAATAATATTTTTGAATTGTTTCACTGAGAGTAAAGAGCGTAAACATCTAGATAACAGATAAACAAGAAAAAGTAAATCGGAAAATGCATATGAATAATGTCAATAATTTCATTAATTTGAATTCAACTAACTTCACCATGTACATGCGGATAGAACTTGATAATGAAAAGTTTTGAAAATAAATAACAACTACTGTCTAAAAAGAATACACAAAATAATTACAGGAATTAGTTTGAAAATTAATACAAGCACTTGTATACAATTTTGTGTTAAATGATTTATGTATTATCAGCTTAATAATTCATGAATGCAAATGAATTTTTCAAGGAAAAAGTTTCATGATATTCTCTTAGAGAATTTTAAATAATGTAATCGTGAAAGATCTTTCTGGGAACAAAGATAGGATGAATATTGACATTGACTCTTTAATCACTTTCCCTTTCTCTGCAAGATATTCTGTTCTGTTCCGGAATGTAAAGTCAACACCAAGAAATTGTTTCATCTCAGTCTTCTGTTGAACCAAGAAACTTTCCTGCGAGAGCTGTCGAGGAAATCTGGACGGATAACTCCCCATGCAGATGCTTTCACTTTTCAATGAAGGAATGAGGAATTAAATAGGATGCGGGCGGTGCGAAGGGAGGGGACTAACTTCCAAGTGAAGCACAACTCGGCTGTTATGTTCCTTCACAATAAAACACGTAACGTAGAGTGAGGACGCAAATTTCTGCATTTTAACATGATAAATTCACAATGAACATAAATGTAAACCTCGCGACGCTACTTGTCAAAATAACACAGTATCATTCCATCGAATTATAATGGATGCAATAAAATACTTAGAACATATAAAACTATTGACGCACAGCAAGTATATGTATTTGTTATTAACATCATTAAGTCGATTTAGAGCAACTGACGAATACGGTTGAAGTTTGTAAACCAGACGATATTCGAGGTTTATAACTAGTGCTTTCTTTATGATATCGGCCGCGTATTGTTGAAAGCGTGTAATAATACCACCTTCTTAAAAGTTGAGGCAACAATTTCAATAAAAAAAATCATAGAAATAAATTCATTTTCTTTCACAGGAGCATTCAGGCGTCACCTTTTGAATCAACTCATTTTGTTTTCATGTTTCTTAACGGGCGGCGGATATTAAAAACCGTAACGGGCGCCGGCTGTTAAGAACATAATGTAAGAATGTAAGAAGCGATTCATCAGCAGTGATGATGATGCAATGATCATGTCAGTGAGGTCATCAAGGGATGGTGATGATTCTTACAGCCGTCTTCTATAATCAGTTTAAATTCTTAATACGTCTGCCCAACGAAAACCCCTGACTTTCGCTGTATGTTCCCGCAATCCTCGATATTATGATATTCAGTTAGTTACCGTCAACGTGAAAGCTTGGAGTTTGGTATCTTGTTTAGGTTTATATTTACGTTCACTTTTCTGAAAGGTTCCATCGAATAACATGGCAGCAAGGTTTTGTGTTCACTTTTCCTTTACACTCATTGTGAATGAGCTTTCAGAACCCAGTGATATTAAAGGGTAGGTGGGTGCCTGAGTGGGTGGTAAAGTAACACGGACCGTTAGCTCTTTATCGTACTGCTTGAAATTTGGGAGCGGTGGCCTTCGGCTGTAAACCGCAACTAGATCGATCTGCTCGCACCCGTTCTCAACTCTCCCCACTGCGGCGCCAGCGCTGAGATGCCAATAACGTAATGACAGATGGTACGGCGAGTAATAGGCGTGGAGATTGATAGGTAGGGCCCCTAGGAAATCGTCCGGAACCGGCTTTGCCAATTTCATATTCGACATGTGGAATTTGAATGTTACTTCCAAGAGGTGGTAAGCTAGCGTGTTACTGTGTTAGGAGTACGGGTCACCCGAAAATCTGAATTCTCTCTTTTGTATCACGAGTTTAAGCCATTTTTAAAAGTACCGAAGCTGAGAGAACAGATACATCGCTTTTACGTTTTGGAATTTAACTGTACCATAAATTTTTAAAGAGAACAAGGAATAATCAAGCACGCCTTATTTTTTTGAACACTACACGGAGTGAATAAAGAACGAAATTATAAAACAGGATGATGAAAGTTGAAAAGACATACACTATGTCTGCACGAATAATAAATCTACGAACGTCCTGATGGCTGTCTGTACTCCCAGAATATTTTCTGCACGTACGCGAAAACTCTATATCAACATCCACGTCAATTAAAAATGTCACCACATGTTCGTCAAATGCCGAAAAAGCGATACTCAGTGAAATGCTAGCAATGCCGACATTTTGTCGTCTATGATGAAACAACGAATTTACGAGTTAAAGGAACTTAGTCAAAAACATATCAAAATGATAAAATATTATTTTTCGAATAGGTTATTTAATATACACTTTTTTGTACATACATTGTGTTCTTAAAGTTTGGTAAAACATTTGTTAATTCATTGCACAAAAACTATAAACGATAAAACTTTCATATGTATGTCATAAAAAAGAGGAACTCGTGGTTTTGGGTTGGATGTTATATGAAATGCTTGTAATTCCCGGATTCGCCGTAGTTAGCGCTTTGCAAAGATGGCGACGATCGTTCTTTCAGTGCGCAGGAGTGTTAGAAATGAAAGAGCGCGAGCGGGGACTTACGGATGAGGTACTGGTGCGCGAGCACCTGGATGCGCTGCACGGTGGCGACGGCATGCAGCTCGAGCACCAGCTCCTGCGGGTAGCTGCAGCAGCGCGCCGACTGCCACCCGCGCACCGTGGGGCCGTGCGCGTTCAGCTCGCTGGCGCGGTGCCGCTCGTCCTCCCCTGACACACACACACACGCATCAGACACATTCGCAGAAGACAGGGCGGTTTAAATCCATTACAGCTGGGCTGCGCAAATGCAGGATACGATGAGGTGGCTCAGGGCATCGATTGATCTTACTGCAGTGCCTCTCACCGGGAGGTCCAAGGTTTCGAGTCCCGATAGTGGCAGGATTTTCGGCACTAGCTAGATAGCTGGGCCGAATTCAGTCGCTGGCTGGAAGAGTGTAATAGCGATCGGCTGCGCTGATCGGTACTGTTCTGTGATTTTCCCGATCAACACAAGGAAATGCTGGAGGTGTGTGGTAACAAACAGGTCACACTAGCTCTTTCCCTCCTCTGCCTTGTGCCATCTTCTACCTTTACGTACTGAAATGCCCTACACTACCACACATGTCGGCAGACCAGTAGGAACCTTAGAGCTACTCAAGGAAGACACGATCTATTGATATTAAGAGTTCCGGTCACAAAAAAGCGGACGGATTAAACAAAGCGTTAAAACTAGTGATGTTACAACAGTGAAAACTTTCTCTCATTGTTTGTCAATTTTGTTTCTTCGAAAATCCAGAGTTCAATAATAATCGAACCTGCGCCATTTTTATCAGCGTACGTTTTTCTATTTGAGGAAACAAACTGAAGAAAAACTTGGAGCCTTTTTGAGAAATAATTGTTTAAACATTGCTTATATTCTACCAAAAATTAAGTGAAAAGTATACGATCTTATACAAATATCTGCCTTTGCAGAACATATTTCATTAAAAAAGTTTTTCTTTTTCAGGTACCCTCAATACGAGTTTTGTAAACGAGAAATCGCAACTTTCTGCTGTAGCATTGCAATACATCATCTGTACTAGGTAAGTACATAGAAGTCCAGAAAGTAAATTTTACTCCGAGTCTCTATATTTTTTCCTCGGATAGGGCATAAAACGGTTAAGAAATTGGCGTAGGTCTTGTTTTCTATCGTTGATGTCTCTGAATCTTCGAGAATTGGAAAAGTTATAAATATTGTGAGAAAGTATGTACCGCTGTAGCACCTAGTTTTTTCAGTTCTGCTCCTTTTGCCTTAAAGTAGTATGAGAACAGCTGCCAGTCCGTGTAAAAGCATTTAATTTGTTCTTAACGTTCACAAAAGTTATTGTTCGAGAGTAACTATTAGCCACCTTTGTACAATTTTATTTGTTCATCTCTTTTGCTTGTTTTTTAGGTTTGTTTTTAGGTGGTTTCTCGATTGAACGATCTTATTAACAAAACTGCGTCGACCATTTACATACATTTTTGCTAGACGTTTAAATAGCACGACATGCAATCCCCTTCATACGCAAAGCGCCGTCGGGCGCCTTCTGATCTCCTCGGCCCTGTGAGGCGGGGTGGGGGTGGGGGTGGGGTGCTGATGCGACCGCCTTCCGCACTAACGGCCAAAGACGCGCAAATTGCTAAAGGCCTCGTCGATAGCGGAAAGGCCCCGGGACACTCCCGCATCGGCAAGACCCTTAAACCCGCGCGCGAGATGGAGTACCGCAGGGATGCTTGAGCGGCGCGCGCCGAGAAGCCGCTGCAGAGGAGGCGTAAATTTGCAGGAAACGCGACGCTACTTCGTAAAAAAAACGACGATATTACACTGGGCTAGATTTATTCACAATTACTGTAAGCTTCCTATAAAAGCACAGGTGTTGTTAAGACGGAATTGCTAGGCACAAACTATTTGGGTTATTGCAAATTCTTACTCCCTGCAATGCCATATTTATCAATTTGAAAATCAACTTTTTTTCGCGGAGTTCAATCGATGAATATAACTGGAGAGCAAACGAAATGCAAAATATCAGATTGCTTGATAAACAAGAGCATTACATTCCTTGCGCTGCAGATATGTTTCTCCTGTGGTAGGCGATAATTTTGCAAAGAGTACCAATAATAAATGAATTTGTAACAGAACTTACTGTATGTTAGCTTCAGGGACATGAGGATTAGCACAGTGGCTTCCTAGAGCCACATTTGCCTGTTTAAACGCGACTTCGGGGTGCAGAGTTTCGTAGGTCGGAAAATACTCAATGTGCAGTGCAACGCTTATGGTATTTAAAAGAGCCATGGAAAAGTGTTTGGCCAAATTAAGTAGTCCGAGAATGTCTGTTCTAAGCAAAACGCAAGTCCGTATGTATACAGAACGACGTATCTAACGAATAATATGGCTAAGACCGTTGATACGTCGGCGATGTCTAGCGACGAACATAGAAGTCCCAAATAGTAACATTGGTCGCCCATAAGGTGCCAAATTTGAACATTACAAACAATACAACTCCTCTCATGACAGGTCACTGAACTAGCAACTACTAATATTCAATATCACCCAAAAAACTTGGAAAGTTAATGCTATACTTGCGTATAATAAAATGACCAGGATAAACAGCAATGGCGACGTATGGCTTTATAAACCGGGGAGACCAAAATCACTTTTCCATCACTGTACTTCCCCCTTCTGATTTTAACCATGAAACGACAGACTCGTTCAGATCTTAAACAGTCACTTCTTTTGCAATATTGTCTGCATGAAAAGTGAACTTTGAACTAACTAAAATATAATGTTACTTTTTCTTTCCCATAATCATTTTCCGATTAACTAACTCTTCTAAAATACTTTTTACGTTCTCGTTACCGCTTACGCATTAGAGAGAAAATTATGTAATACTGCGCGAAAAGCGGCGAATTTCCGCTGTAAAACTCTTATTACAGGGCCCTGGTAACGGAGAAGTGGATAAGTCTAGTTGTTAAATTTTGAAACAAATCCTTTAACACGTTGTATAACCAGAATCCATGTTTTGTAGGTCCTTGATATCGAAAAATCGATTGACGGCAAAACGTGAGTCCTTTGGTTCGACTGTCTGTGAACAACGCCAGCGGCTAAACTGTTCAACTGATTTTTTTCAAAACGTACTTTCCCAATCGATCTGGACGATGTCGGGGGCCCTTGAATTTGAAACCGATACTTTAATTTTGAGGGATACTTTACATAAAAGCCTTAGAACTTCTTCAAAATTTTCACAAAAATGGCTACAATGTTTTTGATTAAACGTTGTTGTTGCATTGTGTGATGGGCGTTTAAGAGAATGGTGAAGGTCTCATATTTGTTAAAAACCCTCATTTTTCGAAAATTTCAAATGTTAAAAAATGTTTCGGCGTTTTCCCACAATTAATTGAATTGAATTGAATTTGCCTTATTTTACGTGGCGAGACAATTAATATATTAAAGACAAGAATTTTTTCTTTAATTAAATCTGTTTCTTAATAATAGATTTTGAAATAAGGTCATGTACAATTTTTCGAAAGTTTGCGGGAAAGTACGGGCGAGAAATTACGTACAGTTTTAGCACCCCTACTTTTAAATACTGCAAGCTTTTTCTTACTTTCTTGTAAACGTAAAACACTCTCACTACCTAGAAACGTTAATAAATAATAATAATAACAATAATAATAATAATAATGTGTTAATAGAAGTGTTAATAAATACCGCGTGAAGCTTGTAAAAGAAGGAATATGCTCGTAGGCTACAATCACACAGGCCGCCACACTGCCAGTGCGAGCAGTGAGCCACACTTGTATGCTGTGAGCAAACCGCACGACAGAGGGGGCTCTCAGAGGCCGGGCTAACTCGAATGCAGCGTTACCGTCCTTTCAAACTCCTAGGAAGCGGGAGGCTGCACGCGTCTTTTGCAGCCTTCAACGAAACGATGTCTTTAAATAAGAATAATGATGTGGAAAGAACTGAGCGTAGGGCTTTAAGAAAGTTTGCTTTAAAATTTCAATAGATTATAAGGGAAGTCAGACTTCTCATCCCTAGCTTGAGAAATATGCCCCTAATGTATAATAGGAATGTTGAGCATCAGGACGAACTTCAGTACGAAGTAACTATGACCCTGCTTACATCTAAACATTTCTCTCTCTCCTTACATCAACATTTTCATGGAATTACAATTACAATAATTAATAACGACAATTTCGAAATGTCTGGTTAATTTAATTGTTTGAGAGAACATAATTGCAACAAACATGAATTAATATGAAATTTAGATTTCATTACATTGGTAAGTTGAAAATCATTAATCTAAAATAACGTCAGCTGAAAATTTTTGATGATGAAATTTATTTTAATTATCCACTATTCCTGAATGTGTAAAAAATATATCAACCGTTGTGCTTATAATGACGTGTCACAGAATAAACTATCCTTGCAAAGGAACCGACATTTTGTTCCCTCTTCACTCACGCATGGATGCGCTGTCCTTTCCAGAATGTGTCATCTCTTTCAAGCAGTCTTTTACTTTTTTCTTTCATGACAGTTCTCCGCCTGTTTTTGGCAGCCTACATGTTGGCGTTCTTTGGCGATGTCACAGTAATCAATACACCCTTGCATTCTAAGCATAGCTATCCTTTCGGACGTCTTCATTTTTGCATCGAAAAGAACAAAGATATAAGTCCTCAAATTTTATTAGAGGAATTTCCTCTCTATTATGTCCTTACTCAGAAGATGACTTATGGATAATAAACTCGCATTTTACGTAAGAATAAGTCACGAATGTCAATATCACTACCAAAAAACACCCAAAAAGAATTTATGGTGTACTTCGTTAGCGAAAATTAATTATTAAACCAGTTGAACACTTGAGATTCCATTGCATTTAACGAATAATTGCAAAATACTACAGCAGAAAAGTATAATTTATGCACTATATGTAAAATGGAAACTTCTCCAAAATGTTATTTCTTGTCAATAAGTAGTTATTCCCTAAAACTAATGAATGGAAGATGTTTACAAATTCTGGAACAATGTGCAACCATTCACTTGCAGCGCAGACTTACATATGTTTCGGAAAACGTTATTGAAATATTTTATTTTCATCAAACTGTATGTTGTAGTCAAATATAGCAGGAAATGGTACTTATGATGTGGATTGTAACCCGAAATTCTCCTTAATATAAAAACGTAATGCACCACGTATAATTGTCACTGATTTTGTTTGTAAAGGAACACGTGAATCAAGCGATCGCAGAACATTGTTTTTATTGCACTAACTAATTTTTACATTCAAAAACACACTATCTTGAAAATTACAAACTACGTGATCTCCAATTCTCCCCATTCTGATAGAGAATCTCATGGAGGAACCTCCAGTATTATAAGTAACAACATAAAACATTATGAATTAAAAAAATACAAGCACGATTGTTTACAATTTGCCAGCGTCAAACTTAACGATATCTTGGGCCCGATCATCATAAATGTTGTTTATTGTCCACCCAAATACTCCATAAAAGTACTGATGTTTGATTCCTTCTTCAATTGGTTGGGAAGAGCATGAAGCGTCGGCGGCGACTACAACGCGCGGCACGTGCGCTGGGGCTCCTGCTTGATACTTCGAAAGGTCGTCAACTTCATAAGTGCGTCCAAAGCAACAATCTTACTACAGGATCTACTGGAGAACCGTCGTATTGACCATCAGACGTATATAAAATTCCTGATCTGGATTTCTTCATTACAAAAGGCATTCCTACAGATAAAATGCAAGTAGAACAAAACTACGATCAATCGATCGAATCATTTCCCTACAATTTTAACCATCATCTCTAGGGTACTGCAAACCTGTACGTCACAGAAACTACATAATACGTACGAGCATATTCAAGTTGCATGCATAAGTATTTTCCAGTTTCAATAAGAGATTGCTCCAGCAAACACTTCGCAATATATTAATTTGACACTCCGTAAGTTTGTTCGTTTGATGTTTACCAACAACACACACACGTTGAGTCCGCCAAACACTAGCGTCTGTGTTGCATTGTTCAGTGATCATGTCGACGTTTCTGCCTGAAAAAGTTCCTTTTGCGGCACGAATTGCTTTATTATTTAATCAAAAACAAAAGGCTGTGGAAAGTCATCGTTTGCTGGAAGAAACATATGGTGAACACGCTCCAGCAATTAGAACATGTGTAACATGGTTTCGGCAATTTAAACGTGATGATTTAAGTGTGAAAGTGCTTGCTCTAGTAGACCAGAAAAGTGCGAAGCCGAGAAATTGCAGGCGTTATTGGCTGATGACCCAACTCAAACTCGACAGCAATTGACAAAAGCAGAGCAGCACTTCAGCAATTTCAAGGAAGTTGGAAAATGGCTGAACGAATGGTTTGCCGCAAAAGAGAAGCAGTTTTTCTGACATGGTAATCATATATTACCTGAAATGTAGACGATGGGCAATATTTTGAATAAACAAAAAATGCATTTTCCTTAAACTACGTGTTTTTTTACCACCAAAAACGGCATACACCTAGTAGACTGGAATAACTTTCATGAAATCGTAGATAGATTTTCAGCAAACGCTACATTAAAAAAACGCAGACTACACAGATGAATGAATCAAACTTCTAACAAGATGCATTCAACATGCCGCACGGGAGACACCATCTTTGTCCTCCTCCATATAGTATTCGTATCCTTCAAGTGAATTGGAAGCAGTAAAAAAAGAAGCATCAACTAAGACAAATCTGGATGCGCACTAGGCATCACCAAGATAAAACTGGCTTTAATAGAGCATCTCGTCTCTTAACACAATCCCTATAATAGTTAAGAAATTGTTTACACTGACATATTCATCCTTAACAGCAACAACAAACTATTGAATCTGAAAAAACTAGTAAAATCTACACACGAACAAAACATGCTATTTCGCCCTATTCGGAAAACAAACGGTACCTGGGCAAGAAGACCAAAGGGCACGCGAACGTTTTGCAGGACGCTTCGTTATTGTATTTGAGCCATTGCCCTCATAAAATAACGCAAACGAATAAGAACTAACCCAATATCTCCATGCCTTCTTCCAACTATCTCCTCCAATAGAACTATTTTTATTTCGATGACAGAAAAATCAATTTAACAGTTCATAAACCCGAATAAAATTCCTGGCTAAGATATCGCGGGTAGTGCTTCAAGAACTATCGCAAAAGGGATTTGTCTTCATTACCTATCTCTTTAACTCTATCCTTCGATACAACTATTTTCCTAGCCAATGCAAAGTAGCTCAACTAGTTGCCTTTATTAACACCTGGGGAATAGCCAATGAGACCGCATCTTGCCGTCTAATAAAACTCCTGCCAGACTTCAAAAGCCTTTGAAAAACTTCTGCTATAAAGACTCAAGCCTCATCTCAAGGAAATTATTATAGACCAGCAATTCGCAATCAGAGAAAATCATTCAACTATTGAGCAAGTCCAAGTCATTGACATCATTACTCAATACTAAGTCAAAACGCTACTGTTGAGCTGTGTTTGTATTTCTACACAAAATTTCGCAAAAATTCTCATATTTTCGAATCATTGAACATAACATTACAGTATTTAATGACCTGATTTTGATTAATACATTTCGTTAAGAAAAAAGGTTCTTCTTCATAATAGTAGTTGTAGGAAAACGCCGAAAAAATTTGGAATTTTTGCATATTTTCAAAAATTATAATTTTCAACGAACATAAAACCTGCACCATTCTGTTAAGCGTCCTATACGTTATCCGAGGTCAAAATTTAATCAAACTTGTTGGTTCTGTTTTTGGAAAAAAATTGTTTAAACAAAATTAAAAATTGCCTATAGCTTATTTCATCTAAAAGTGCGCGAAAACTACTCAAATTATCGAAAAATTATGTGTCTTTATTTGGAAATTTATCTTTAAGAAACAAGATTTCATTAAGGGAAAAAATGTCTATTTTTAATAATTTAGGTGTAGGAAGACGCCGAAAAAATTTGGAACTTTTGAAAAGTCAGTTTTCTATGAAAATGTGATTTTTCAGCGTCTTTTTCTTATACGATAAACCAAATTTGAAGCCGTTTTGAGAAAAAATATAAATTGCCTTGACTTTAAACAAGAAGTATTAGAACTTTTTTTTAATTAGAACTATTTTAACAGCTCTAAGAACACCGTCTCTGGACTCAATGACGTTTCATTTTCAGATCTTGTAAGTGCATTTTCAATATTGAATGTACTATTTTTACTCCCACGTTAATATCGTATTCTCTGATGAATTCTTTTGTCTTCTTTAATCGATTGTTGTATGATATTACCATTGTAAACTTGCTGAAGTTGTACAACTGAACAATATTCCTAATTTGTTTTTATATCTTTAATAAATTTCCATGATACTTCTGCTTTGATATTGCAAATCCAATTTATCAATTTCTGGAAATTGTTTCCCAAGCAGTATTCTTAACTTCCATAAATTGCTTTTTATTTTCCCTACTTATTTATTTGATTGTTCATCATTATTACCTTGGGTACTCAACTATTCCCTACAAGCATTTTCTTTCTCTTTTACTTTATTTTCTTAAGAAGAGTTGCACCACATATCACTTATCTTTACTTTCTTTTTTCTTATTTACGAAGTAAAGAGTAAACCTTGTAATGCTGCGAATTTTCAAAAATCTTAAAAGTTACAAATTCCACAAGAACGTGAGGAATGTTGTAGTTCCATGTGGCTATAATTTGGTTTGTAATATTTATTTTGTGAAGAAAAGTGGATCATGCGTCTACAAATGTAATCAATTTCATTATGAAATTACAATAATGTATCTGTATATTCCTAATTTCAAAGTAAATATCTTACTTGCAACGAAGCTGTTAAGCAATTCAAGTTGGACATTAAACCAGCCTTCGGTTAAGCCAAAAAGCATTTTGAAACTGTCGCCCCAGGTCTGATGAGTGCTGCCATCTGTAGTGAGAACACGAACTAAATGCACCGGTTGTAGCGTGTATTCATGAATGTTTTAAAGCGTGCAAAACATTCCGCGCTATTTTTAGGTCATAGGGGGAAAATAACTCAGTTATCAATAACGTAGACGTGTTTTCTGATTCATTGTGCTCTACAACTCGTCTATGACAACAGTAAATATACTGGAAACTGTGATATTTCCAGCATCCTCACTGTAAATTCATTCAAGTACTGACGGATACATAAACGGAATAGATAATGGGACATTAAGATTCTGAACAAAGTAGTTTATAATATACATATATTATATGTAATATTTTAAAATTGTTTATATTATATTCGTTTTATACATTTATATAATATAAATTTCATAATTTTAACGTAAATGATATATAATTAAATAATGTATATTATACATATATAATTAATTCCATTAAAAAAGTATTTAAAATTTTCATTATCAAGTTAATCTCCTCCCGTATACGTTTATAACATTATGCTTGTGATTATAATGGTAAGTAATTTTAGAAGAACTTTCGTTGGAGATGGT